CCTACCAAAAAAAGTGAACACGACACTCAGGTTTGCTTCTGAAATTATTAGAACGTATCTGCTTCCGGCAGGGAGCAAAGTGCCATGGGCGGGACTGTTTCAACAGAGGGCCGTCACCAGCAGCAGCCAAAACGTCACATCCAGGATCAGAGAGGAGGTGAGTCTGCACCACAACCCGCCACTCAGAGAGGGAGGAAGGCCGACAGCCCAGGGCCGGCTTCACGTGAGGCGCATCCCTGCAGACAGCGTCAGCCAAAGGTCCACATCCTCCTCCAGCCTTCCCAGCTGAAAGCGTCACAGCTTCCAGGATCACAAAAGTCTGGTTTGAAGACCCTGAGAGCACGTGGCACCCGACAGTGCTGGGCGGGCGTGGCTACTGACGGTGCAATGCAACACATCAACACTTCAACGCCTAATGTTTTTATAATAAAACCGTGATAAGTATGACACCATCTTGATGAGCGTTTCAGATGTATTCTTGTACCATGGGAGCTCATTCTAAGATGCGGATTCTCACCTGAGCCAAGTAGAGATGTTAATTCTTGGTCATTTGGCATTTGGCCAAATATAATTGGGAACGCCCTCTCCAGGTGATGAAACCGTGCGGTCCCATGGCACTAAACATCAGCTCAGGGCTGCTGGCTTCACATGTACCCTGCAGCCTGGATTCCAGGCTTAGCCACCCAGCATCGCCTCCAAGAGGGCAGGCATCTCAGCCCCAGCACGCACAACACAGACCTCCACCTTCCCCACCTCCACCCGCCCTACTCCCAACAGCTTCCCATTCGCCAGTTGCTCATGCCACAAACCTGGCCAGCAGCCTTGATTTCTCTGACAGTTTAACTGCACAGACGTCCCCATGTCTGCCCTTCCACTCCGGGGGCTGAGCCACCTCATCAGATGCCTGGGCCGTGGCAGGGGCGTCCTGACTGACCTCTCAGCTCCAACTCCTGACTCCCCTCCCCACGCGCCCTGCACCCAGAAGCCCAAGTGCCCTTGGACACTCTAACCCAGCCCATGTCACAGCCCTATTCAGAACCTCCAGTGACTTCCTATCACCTGCAATAGAGGCTGTTGTCTCGCAGGGCTGGATGAGGTCTGGCCCCAGCCTCATCTCTTGGCTCTCTCCCCCTCCCTGCCATCTCAGCCTCGCCTCCACCTCCTTTCACTGCCCCTCCAACACAGCAGGCTCCTTCTCACTTTAGAGCCTCCGCCCAGAATGCCCTTCCCAAGCTCACTGTGCAGACGTGTGATCAGATGTCACCTCCCCAGAGGAGCTGCCCTGGATTGCCTGCCCCACTCCCACCCGCCACTCTACCCCACAGTCTTCTGTCACTGTCTTCCTAGCACTTGTCACGCCCTAAAACATCTGCGTCTCAGGTTGAACCGCCCTGCCTCATACTTGCCTTTCTTCGCTCTGCTAGACTGTGTGCTGGGGGAGTGGACGGGGGTGGGGTGGGGGGCTCATCTCTCGTTTCCCACTGTGTCTCCAGAGCCAAGACCCACCCAACACATGTAAGCCAACGAACACTCATCCATCAGACAAATGAATAAGTGAATGAATGAATGTGTGACCAAAACAAACACAGACATGTTTCCCTCCAAGTACATGTGTACTTCCTGAGGGCCAGCTGAATAAGGACACACAGCGTGGTCCAAGTGTCACTGTCTCCTTCAGAGTGAGTAACGGGCCTCCCTAGCACCTCATCCCCCACCCACCACCTGTCACAAGCCCAGGTTTCCCTCCGAGAACCGACCTGTAAGTGCCCTTTGTGCAGAGCGTGCAAACTCTGTCCAGAGGCAGCTATCGATGCTGCACCCCTGGGTTTCCAGGGCCAAGTTTTTCGGGCAGGGGCTCCCCTAGTCTCTCTCCAGAACAGCGCCCTACCCACTCACGCCCTCTCAGCAGCGCCCCCCCCCCTGCAGCAGCCAGTCCTCTGTAACAACAGTGCAGAAAAACACGATCCCACCCCAGTCACCAGCCCTGCCCTGAAGGAATGACCCGCCGGGATGGCCCATGGGGAGACCCTTCCACCAGGATGGGGCTTGTCTGTGCAGCCCATCAAAGCAGGGGAGGTGGTGCAGAAAAGAAACCCCAGACACAGGATCTGCTGAGTCCACCAGTGCTGGGGATGATGCGGGTGGAATCTCCTCCTGATCTTTAAGAGGTGTGCTGTCCCACGTACAAGGGGACACTGAGTTCTCGAGGCCACTGTCACAGGCACTTTGGGACCTGAAAACATATCAGAACTCTATGAGAACTGAAAGATCGGTCAGCAAATAGCTGGTCCCTTCCAGAGCCTGTGGATGGCGCTGAGGACCAAAAATCCAGACAGACACTCAGATCTATCTGTCCCGTTTTCATTTCCCGCAGGAAGACCCAACAACATTTATAGGTAATGAAACTGCGGGGCCTTTTTCATGGACTTAATCAACAAATATTGATCATGTGCCAGTCACCCAGGGGACTTGGAGTGGGTGGGGGACCAGCAGGGAGCCAGACACTCCTCAGTCCTGCTCTTGGCTTTGATCTGTCTGTTTAGAAAACAACAACGGTAACAATAGCGACTCCTGCTTACTGACGACAGACCTGTGCCAGGTACAGTGCCCAGTGCGCCTCGCACGCGACTTCAGCAGGCAGCCTGGATGGTGCCCAGTGACAGACACAGAAAGGAGCTACTATGGATGGGCGCGGTGGCTCATGCTGTAACCCGGCACTTTGGGAGGCTGAGGTGTGTGGATTGCTGGAGCCCACGAGTTCGAGACCGACCTGGGCAACATGGCGAAGCCTCGTCTCTACCAAAAGTACAAAAAATTCATCAGACATGATGGTAAGCAGCTGTACGCCCAGCTACTCGGGAGGCCGAGGTGGGAGAATCACCAGGAAGTGGACGCTGCAGTGAGCTGTGGTTGGACCACTGCACTCCAGCACGGGGGATGGGCTAAGACCCTGTCTCAAAAAGAAAAGGAGCTGCAGCAGCTACAGCCTCTCTTCCCTTCCTGTCTCTTCCTCTCAAAATCATGCACCTCAAAGGCACAGTTCTCTGCCCCTGAGCCCTCCCGGATCAGGATGTTAACCTCGCCACTGCACCAAAGCTGCTCTCATCCGGGCCACCAGTGACCAACCAGATGCCAAAACTAGTGGTCAATGCATTTGTGTGACGCAGAGAGACTGCAGTGTGGCAGGAGCAAGGGACCACTGTTTTAACGGAAATAGGACATCAGGTCTGCACACTCCACAGTCCAGGGAACACAGAAAGTGGCTACAGAAAAGATCAACCAGGGCACAACAGACCCGGGAAAGCCAGAGGTGAGAGGTGGCCCATCTCACCATGTGGGAATTCCTTCCTCTGCTGCGGTGAGCTCAAGGAAGCCACTCATTACACTTGAGGTCAACGATTCTAGTTTCTTCACCATCTGCATGAGGATATTCCCACAATATTACTGGTGATAGAAAAATACCAGAAATGACAAATGTGTTCAATACAGGAGACTGGGTAAATAAGGAACAGACACACAGCGAAGTACTATGCAGCCATAAAGAAAAAGAAAGGTGATCTCCACATGGAAGGATTCCTGGAACGTATTATTAAGTGAAACAGGCAAGGTGCGTAAAAAGATGTATCGCATATACCATCTTTTATGCACGGAACGAAAGGGAAATGAGTAGGTGTGTGTACGGACATTTTTGTAAAGAAACATAAGGATACAATTAGAATCCATTGCAAATGGTTAGCGGAGAGTGTACAGGTGGGAGAAAAAGCAGTGAGACCTCCCCCGGCCCACAGGCTCTCACTCTGTTGCCAAGGCTTGAATGCAGTGGTACAATCATGGCTCACTGCAGCCTCGACCTCCCAGGCTCAGGTAATCCTCCTGCCTCAGCCTCCCAAGCAGCTGGGACTACAGGTGCCTATCATCACGTCTGGTAATGTGTAGAGACAAGGTCCCAGTATGTTGCCCAGGTTGGTCTCAAACTCTTGGGCTCAAGTGATCCTCCTGCCTCAGTCCCTCAAAGTGCTGGGATGATCAGGCCGAGCCATCACACCTGGCCAAGACCTTTCAAGGTATGTCATTTTCACAGTTTTGACTTCTGAAGCACATAAATGCTTCACATTTTTAAAAGTAATACTAAATAAAAATAAATGCAAACATATACCCGAAACCTAAATACAGACAGAAACTAATTATTCATACAGCAAACGGATGACATGACCACTACAACAGGAAATAGTTCAGTGACGCTCTGAACACAGAATTCTGACTATGCACTCTCAGTGGATATATCAGATACTTAAAAATTAATGGCAAAGAAATCCTGTACTTAGCACGTTTGTAGTGGACAGAGGTGCCGATACCGTAACTCTGACACTATTTTATATGCAATCAGAGTAAACAGCAAATGTATTTCTGGAACCAAGCTTCACCCTGGAGGTTGGAATAGAGAATGCTGACAGGTAAGGGAGAAACTAGCAGCACTGACCTGGAATTAGAGCTATCAGTGTGAACTCACTCTTTTTTTTTTTTTGAGACAGACCCTTGCTCTGTCGCCCAGGCTGGAATGCAGCGGCGTGATCCCGGCTCGCTGCAACCTCCGCTTCCTGGGTTCAAGCAATTCTCCTGCCTCAGCCTCTCCAGTAGCTGGGGCTATAGGTGTGCACCACCACACCTGGCTACTTTTTTGTGTTTTTAGTATACAAAAAAATGTGTGTATTTGATGACACATTCACTCACAGAATGTTGCTGGGGACCCGCTTCCCTCCTGCTGCCTCCCATCCGGAGCAGAAGGAGCTCAAGTTGAAAGGGCGTAGTGGAGAGGGTGGGACAGAGGACCCCGAAGCCACGGCCTGGGCCTGGGGGCACCACCTGGGAGCTGTGCCCTGCAGCTTTACTGTCTTCCTAGGACCCGTGACCGACGTCACTATGCAGAGAATCCTGGTCCAGCCCCGGGCTGCTGCAGGGAGATGGGGGGTGGGACAGAGCTGTCCCCGCTGGGGACTCACCCAAGAGCTTCTGCAGCACTTGCCCGTCATAGAGATCTTCCTCCAGCTGCTTCACGATGATCCTCTCCTGCACGAGCACATCATTAATCCAGCTGAGGAGAACCTGCAGGAGACGCGGGCGTTACGGCCTCATCCGCCAGCACCGTGGGGACGCCGTGGTGACAAGGCCAAAGGCGGGAACAGAGGCTGCACAGGGCAAACGCAGGGACAGCTCTGCGGCCACCAGGACCAGAGTACCTGCTTTCCACCTTGGTACGTACAGAGGGCCAAAAGATTAAGCACTGGTAATACTGCACCCCCGTCACCCCGAGACAGTCAAGTAGCCGACAAGATGTCCATTCCTCTCTGGTGACCCTCAGCCTCAACCCGCCCCAACCCAGGATGGCAAAGGGGGATTTATGCACCATTCCGGACAAGCTTGGAGCACCCACCCTCAGCTGCATCGTACACACCGCTATTGAGACAGCATTCTCACTCCACACAATTCCTCCTTGAAACGTGTGTGATTCGGTGGCTTTTAGTATATTCACAGAACTGTGCAGCCATCACCGCGATCCATTTCAGAACATTTTCCTCACCCATTAGGAGCTACTGTCCACATCTCCCTCCCACAGCCCCTCACAGCCACCCATGTACGTCCCTACGGATTTTGCTTTCCGGACATTTCATATAAACAAGAGCAGGTGATGTGTGACCTTCCGTGTCTGGTTTCTTTCACTGAGCGTGTCTTCAAGGTTCATCCATGTGCTGGCATGTTTCAGCCCCACCTTCATCCCTATGCTGAATCACATTCCAGCTCATGGGGGCCCACCTGTTGTTTTTCCATCCCTTGGTTGATGGTTATTTGGGTTCTCACCCCTTTTTGGGTACTGAGTGTGGGGGTCTGTGGGTCATGGAGGGGAGAGGAGGACGTGGTGTCTGAGACAGGGGGAGTGGCGTACGCAGACGCCGCGCGGCCGCGATGAGCTTGGGCGATTTGAAGAGCCCCAGCGAGGAGGCTGGGTGCTCAGGGGTGGCTGTGGCGCTGTCACGCACGTTCAGGTACAAGCCTCTTTGTGGATGTCAGTTTCATTCTTCCAGTCCAGCCTTCCTCTTAAGCCTTTTCACAACAGATTTTCTATTCAGCTCGCCGGGAGATGTACTTCAGAGGAAGCTCGCTTCCATTGTGAAAATACCTATGGAAAGACAGGACTCCTGCCGAACACAATTCCATCGGCCAATCCTGCTTCTGACACATCTAGCCCACAAAATAAAACAGACTCCACCAACGACACGGAGTGCGTGATTTTCCTGTGCAAGAGAAATCAGTGCGACGACCCCACGGGTCCCAGTAACCTCTTGGAAACGGGAGTTTATGTCCCTCTCAGAGACGAACAAAAGGGCTCAAGCCCAGAGTATCCTGTTTCCCATCACTCTGAAACAGCTGCAACCCAAGACATCGGACACAAGGCAGATTTCTGCGAAGCACGCTCTATTTTCCCACTGGCACAGAAATATCAAACCTGACACACAAGCCCAGGAGGAACAGAGGTAAAAATAAGTTAAAGGGCGGTTTGCAGGGAGAGGTGCATGGCCCGGTGGCGTTCTGGTCTTGTCAACGCCACCTCTGAAGGTCAAGGGCTCAGTACCAGCTACCCTGCTTCCGCCCGGGGCTCTTTCTGCGAGATGGGTGGCAGGGGCAGGGAGACCAGTGGCCTGGGAGTCCCACGACAGCACCCGAACCCCCTCCGTTCCCAAGGAGCTGCCTCACGCTACCCTCCATGGGCCACACTCACCGGAGGCCTGCTCTCCTCCCTCACCCCTCTGCAGCCTCCCTTGGGGAATCATCCCCGACTCCCCTGACCCTCACATGGTGCATTTCTGAGGGCCCTGGACAGCTCCCGTTCTCCCTCCCCACTCCCTCTTGCTCATCCCTCACCCAGGACCCCCTAAGCACAGAGCCCGCCTCCCCATCTCCTCCCACTCCGGAGTTCCATGGAAGCCTCTAACAGGACTCGCCACACTCCAGGTCTGCTCCTTCCCAGGGAAGGCAGGAAGGAAGCAGGGCCTCCATCCTTGTCTCAGAGCCTGGACTTCGCCTTCCATCACCCCACTTCTGTCCATCACCCCACTTCTGTCCACTTCTCAACCAGCTCTACGTTCCCCATCTTCCTCCTGCCCCTGGGCCAGGGCCACAGCCACTCTGAACGCTTTGCCTCCTCGCTGGGGTTCTTCAAATGCCCAAGCTCATCTCCGAAGCAAGGCCTCTGCATACTCCCCCACCCCCCACCCCCTGCATACACCACCCCCTCCTTCACTGCCTGAGCAGCACTCACTCCGCCAGAGCTCAGACCACCCCAGCACTCCAGGCTGCACCCCCATCACAGCTCCCAGTACCCCGGCACCCGGTCTCACCCTGTCCCACTAGCAATGGGGGCAAAGCTTTGAAAGGCTCTCCTCTGTTAGACCTCAAGGTCTATGAGGTCAGGAGCTGTGGCCAGAGCGTTTGTGGCTCCCCAGCACCAACAACTTGCTCTCTGGCACCAGAGCCCTGTAAGGATGTGGTGAATCAATGGTCTGACTCACCGCACTATCGTGGGCCAGGATAAAGACTGTGGAGAAGTCTAGTTTGCAGCTGAGTGGTGACTGAAGAGTTTGAATTGTCATTCAATGTCAGTTTGAAATAATGACTTCGTGGCTTATGCACGTAAACGTTGTAGAGATGAGTCTAATGATGGAGGTGCCTGTGATTGTGATTTTTATGGGATATGGATATGAGCGTTTTTTGCAAGTGACAAACAGGACGAACGAGACCTGTGCCTTAGGGCCTTACATTCTAATGAGACTCCAAGAGACACATGGACGCCCACAGCTTTGGGCTGTGATGGTTGTTAGGAAGGAAAATAAAGCCGGATCCAGGGGAGAAACCAGATGAACACACCTGCACAGGTGATCAAGGCCGATGCCAATCGCAGAGGCGTGCACGTGGGTGTGCCCCAGTACACGATGGGACGGCACTTCATCTCTGCAGCCTTTCTCCCCAGAGTGATAACCCCGATCGAATCATGAAGAAGGCATCAGACAAACCCCAATGGAGGGGCAGTCTACAAACTCTCTCAGCTATACGCCTCGCAACTGTCCGGGTCATCAGAAACAAGGAAAGTCTGAAAAACTGTCAGAGCCCAGAGAAGCCTCAGGACTGAATGCAATGTGGTGCCCTGGGAGGAACCCTGAGACTGCAGAAGGAGAGCAGGTGACAAAGCACCTGCCTTAGTAAGTGTCTCTGTGCTGGGGCAGGGTCTTTGTTAGTAACCATGTGTCTGTGTCAGTGTTAATAACATGTATCTGTGTTGATTCAGGGCCTGAGTTAGTAACAATGTATCCGTGTTGATGCAGGAATTGTGACAACCACGCTGGTGTGAGCTGTTACTATTAGGGAAAGGAGTGTGGGGCATATGGAGCGCCCCCTGATCTTTCCAGGTTAACTTTCTGAAAAAAATAATAAGGTGGCCAGGCACAGTGGCTCCCATCTGCAATCCCAGAACTCTCAGAGACTGAAGCAGGTAGATCACTTGAGCCAAGGAGTTTGAGACCAGCCTGGGCAACATAGAGAGACCTCCATGTCCACAAAAAAATTAATTCGTGGGGCATGGCGCTGTGCCTGTAGTCTGAGCTCCTCAGGAAGCTGAAGCAGGAGGATCGCTTGAGCCGGGAGGTGGAGGGTGCAGTGAGCGGTGATCGCACCACTGCACTCCAGCCTGGGTGAAAAGAGCGAGACCCTGTTCTGGGAGCCTCTGGGGTGACAGGAAGGGGTGAGGGCGGGCTGCATGGACATCTGAGGGAAGAGTGCTCGAGGCACGGGGGACAGCCAGGAGGAGCCCTGCCACTGAGCTGGGTGCAGGGGACTGATAGTGTCAGGAGGGGGGAAGGGGGATAGGCCGACCCTGGTCTCTCCCCCAGGATGGGGCGGGAGGAGGCTGTGAAACGTCTTGGGTCAGGGTGATCTCAGACACTAGTGGGCATAGGAGGCTGGACATGGAGCCCATGGAGGGGCCCGGGAGCAGGTCTGGCAAGGCCTGGGAAGGGGTGGGCACCATCCGTCAGAGGACGGGAATTAGAAGAGAGGAGATGGAGGAAGTTAGCGCCCTCCACGGATGCTGCTGAGGCCAGAAATGGTGGAGGCAAGGGGTGTGGAGGAAGACATTGCCCCCGAGGCTGGCGTATCTAGGCCGAAGGGAGCGGGTCAGTGGTCAGAGGTTTTATGACCCTGTCCCTTGAGCAAAGGGGCATGAGGTGAAAGTCGCTGGTAGAGCCTGTGGCTGCAGGGCTGGGGAAGGAAGAGAGGGGAAGGCCTGGAAGCAGCACTGAGGAAGTGGGGGTAACACCTGCCCCCCCCCAGGCCCTGACGCCCACGGGGCAGGGAGGAGGAGGACACCTGCCCACCCCCCCCCAGGCCCTGACACCCACAGCACATGGAGGAGGAGGACACCTGCCAGCTCCCCAGGCCCTGACGCCCATGGAGCGCAGAGTAGGGGGACACCTGCCAGCTCCCCAGGCCCTGACGCCCATGGAGCGCAGAGTAGGGGGACACCTGCCAGCTCCCCAGGCCCTGACGCCCATGGGACAAGGCAGAGACCCCCTTCAGCCATCCTGACCTTGTCACCTCCTCTCCCTAGGCCTTGGTGACACAGCCACAAACCACGGATTTGACTGAACGGCAAAGCAAACCTGCCCGTACCCACATCTCCCTCCACCCACCAGCTGCCAGGACAGCTCCTCCGGGCCTTCCCCCACAACCTCGTCCTGGGGCCCCTCAACTCCACTGCGATCCAGGATTTACGACCCTGTCCTTTGCTGAAGGACTGTACGGTGATGATCGGATCTGGGTGATGGTGTCACACACAGCTCCACAATGTCACTAAGCCTCTTCCTGCCGGGCCGCTGCGGGAGACAAAGGTAACTGTGTCCTCTGCCCTCAGGCTGGAAGGGGGAGGCAGACAGAGACGAAATATAAGTCAGGGTGATCTCAAAGACATGAGGATCATCCAGCCCAGGGCACTGTGGAGGGCCAGGGGGGAAAAGCTGAGCAGAAAGGGGTGCACAGGGCAGGGGGAGGCTGGGCGG